GGCACTTGTTGCCAGTAAATGTGTTATTCTAGCAGAATTTATAGCGGAACGTTTCTAAAAATATTTTAACAGCAACCTGTTGACGTATACACAACTTTAACAGCTCTCATGTATTTATCGGTCACGTCTCACTTTTTGTTCTGAAATGCGCGGTCATCCTGCGAACGGATAAAAGGATTCAGCGCCATAGTCTGGGCTTTAGTAGTCGTACATTATATCATACAGTTTCTTTCTTTATGATTTCTCTGGGTATTTTTCAAGCTGGTCTGCCAACTGTCCCCTCCCCTGGCTCTTTATCCACTCTACTAGAGACCAGTGTGCCGTGAAGCCGGTGCGCCACGCGGTATTCCCAGCCAAAGTGATCGTTGTAGAAAGAAGAAAAAGAACGAGATAAAGGAGAGAATAGAGTAAATCACGGGTGGTGTAGAGTGGGGGAGATCAGAGATAAACTACATGATTATGCTTTAAACCTATCCTAATTTCATCTGAATCACACGCATCTATTTAGGTGGAGGGCGGACCCTCACTAAACTATAACAAAGTCCCTGCAGTGACTATGAGACAGGAACTTTAAAACTCGCGTTGGTTATACTTCTGAGAACAAAGCGTATGAATGAAACTTTAGACAATGCTTTGTTCTCGTGATACTCCCATATGACAAGTAAATGTTAAGTTTACCAAAATATCATCTTTAAAAGCATTAAATATTTCTGTGTGTGCGCGTGCTTACATGAAGTCTCTACAAAAATTCTCTCGATTTCGACGTAATCTTGGGTGCTCATAACTTAATAACAACAATAACAAAACGGCAGGATCGAATTTGGACTCACCCTCTGCAGCGTGAGTGCCAAATCGCCATGTCGTGCGTCCTTGGAGAGGCTTTGGATCTCCGACATGTGCGTAAAGACAGCAGCGGCAGAAGGCAGAGAAGAGGTCGCGATTCCCTCTGTACAGCCCGCCTTTACCACACACACGCGCGAGCACGCACGCACACACACACCACCACAAGGAATACTGAGGAAGCAACGACATAAATTACTGACCTATATGCGTAAAACAGAGGTTTCAGACACACACACCCCCACACACACAGATAGAAAGAGAGAGAGACATATACGAGATGGCAAGGCACTGGTGTAACGCCTATAAGAGTCTGGACCTACAGTAATGTGCGTGTACTCACAGTGAGAGCATGTTAGATATTCTCTGGTTAACTATTGGTGGAATCACTATTAGAATTGTTCATTACCATTTTACACCATTTCCGTAACTATTGTATGATCCAAACACTTGAGAATCTGAGAACTATGCACATCCACCCGGCTCCCACAATATTCATATGCGAGTCTGCCTTTATGTGTCCTAATATTCCAGCAAATTCTAATGTTTCACCGCACATCTATTTCCCTGTATGATGCATATTGTTTTCAGGGCTAAGAAGTAAATCGGTTCCTCGGTGTGACTGGAATAGTTGCAAGCAATTAAAGGCGAGAGAGTGAAGTTACATTAGTTTTAATATCAGTGAGCTCCTGAAAACGTACCAGAGAGGAGCACAGCAATAGTTATCCTGTAGGACCACAGGCAAGAAATAACTATTTATGAATGCGTTAAATTATTTATTTTGTAAAGCAGTGGTTTTGTGAGGCACGAGCAGGGCACTAATTAAATTGTGGTGGTTTTCTGTTGAACTTTATTTTAAAAAAATACCATTATCATTAAACACTGGAGGAAAAATTAAACGGGGAGCGCACATCTGCACTTGTGTAGAAAAATATACAAAGACCTAATGTGTTGTTGTCGTTATCAGATGTAGAGTCATTTTCACCTCTGGACGCAAAATTACACCCTAAGTCTCCTGAACTACAAACTTCGATCCCAAACAGTTTGACACATCGTTCAATTTTATTATGTATTACACACAGATCAACCTACTATGAACTCTATTGCTTTTTGTAACATAGCTCGTTTTGTTTGTTTAAGCACAATGTAGAAACATTCGAGTTTTGGTAAGTTTTTTTTTTTATTAGTAAACGTTTTAACGTTTTAAAAGTATGACTGAGAAATTAAGGACTAGTGTGACTCTATTGTGTTACTCTTTCTCTCGCACACACGCACACACACGCATGCACACTACACGTCACTGGCTCCATAATCCTAAATACAATTTAGAAAAAAAAAGATGTTATTTCAAACTGAATAATTGTCAAGGTTACAAATATCACGTTGTTTGTGTTTAGAACACCGATTTCTGAAAATGAACTCGTAAAATACGCACAATGTGGAGTCTACTTGGTGACATGAAAATGAAAAGTGGAAAATAATTGTCGCAGCCGTGTAAACAAAAGCACACTGACTGAGCTGTATTGCAGTGACAAGAAGTCTTTGTTGACGGTGTAAATCCTATGATATTCACACTGCTGTTTTCACGAGTGACGCACTGGGACAATGACATTGTTTCACACGTCGATGGATCGAAGGAAAACGGCTCCTAAAAGTTACATTTACCACCAAGTGTTAGTTAGAAGCGAAAATCTGTCCAAAAGCGCACACTCTCCCCAAGCACATCTGGCGCGCAGCGAACTGTAAGTTTTTAAGTCCAGTTCTCCGACATACAGCTGTAAATGTTCAGGACCGAAATCCGTAGTGCGCATCAGAGTGAACGCTGCTTAACATTATATGGTTTTAGAGAGCAGAAAGAATTATTTTGGAATAATAGATAATGCATTTGAGTTTCTTATTTATGCAACTATAATTCAAAGTTTCTCGCACACTATCTCTCGCTCTCTCGTTCTCTTCCAGACGTAGTAGGAGTAGTGGGGTAGTGTCTGTGTGTCTATATCCCCGTTGGTGAACACAGTGTGCACGGTTCAGAGGACACCATTCAGTCAAGATATGCCAAGTGGCACTAGGGATTAATTTTCTGAACAGGGCAGAGATAACCTAATGTCTCTCCAGGTGTGCTGCACAAAATGAGGTTTTAGACACCTGAAAGCGAAGGCTACACATCTTTAGACCTTTATTTTTAAGGCACGTATAGAAGTTAAGAAGTGACCCCATCATTAATGCATTCAAAATGTTATCAGGTTTGTTGGAACCAAAACGAAGAATCTGCAGTTGCCTGGAACCTTCAGTGAGTAAGCATCCCGGATATTAAGAAGACATAGTTCATGAGCCCTTTTTCCGGTTAAACATAACAATGTTGAAATCAGATTTTAAAGAGCTTTCAGTTGGGGACCAAACAAACCCCGTTGGCACTGACATGAAATATTCTGATATGCTTTAAGATGAGGAAGTGTCAATATTCCCATGTTTCAGAAGTCAACGGATTGAAGCAAGTTTCTGTTCTCGGGGATATTTGGGAAGAGAAGTAAAATGCTCCCGAAGCGAGAAGCAAAATACACTTGGACACTTATTTGGGGGTGAAAATGGCAAACACAACGCAGTGCGCTCTCTGACGGGCTTTGAGGACGGTGGACTATGTCAGTCAGATGGAGACTAAAGCTCTTCATCGCGCGCACGCGGGTGCGGTGTGTGTTTCTCTGTTCATGAGCGTTATGTTTGAATGTACACGGTCGGTGGGAGGGGGTTTGTAACATCACAAGGAATGTGAGCACGGCAGCTGTGTGTGCGTGTGTGTTTGTGTGTGTGTGAGTGAGTGTGACACTGATGGATGCGCCAATGGAAAGACGGACAGATGCTTGGGCGGATCTAACAGCATGCAGTGGTGAAGCGGCGCACACAGTCTCGGTGAGATTAGGGCGAAAACATCCTCGATCGGCAGAGAGTAACCGCTCACCAGTCCTTCCACCGAGCCCGTGGGACGGGAGAACAACTGACAGACTCTCCGGTTTGCACAAGAAGCGACACAGGGAGAAAGGCTCAGGAGATCTGATTCTCCCGGTAAAACCGACGAAAAAGCTGTTTCCCCGACTTTTGACGAGCGTGAGAGAGGAGGCGCAGCAGCACCACATCTGGCGCAGACGACGACAGGAGGAGAGAGAAAGACAGCCTTTGGCAACTCACCCTTAATGCCCTCCCTTGTTCTTCCATTTCCTCTCCAAGAATCCTTTATCCATTGTTTTCACCACCCTGAAGTCACGCGTTCCAGACCGAGGATTGCCTGAAAAATATCGGACATTATTTTTTTTATCTACTTCACCAAGTCTGTTGAGCCCAAAAACTTTTCCTCTAAAAAACTCTTTCTCACTCTGTGGTGAAACAGCGCGAAACAAAGGAGCGACGTCATCTTCAGAAAATATCTGAATAACTTAATGTCAATTTAATGAGGATTTTGTGCTTACCTGTAGAGGAGAAAGTATTTTATTTCGTTCAGCGCCAATAAAAGGGACATCGGTTGGTGAGAATTTTGCGCCTCTCCGGTCACTTGACACGCAGGACTGGGAGCGGAGCGCCGCGCTGGGAGACACATCTGACTGGTGTGGCTGTTTGAAATAGTTCCTATCAGGCCGTGTAAAGAAAAACAGGAGAAAAGTACCATCAGCGACCAAGAAAGTGTTAGGCAGTAGGCGCCAGTGCTCGGCATATCCGTGCGCTCAAGCCAGCCTGCATGCATGGGAGCAGCCTGAGCCCGTCCCCTCCTCCTCCTCCCCCTCCTCATGTACATTATTATAACAAGGGAGACCCAATCAAGCACGTATCTCATCGATTCACGCAAACACATGCAGCTGTACTACCACGCGTACACGCATGCACGCGCACATGTGCATACGCATACGTACTGACTGAGTGACTTGCCCTCAGCGGATTTTTCAAAGCGCTCTCGGACAAAATAACGTAGCCGCGCCAGGCAGGGCAGCTTGTGGGTGACCAGTCCCGGCCGTCACCTCCTCCTCTTCCTCCTCCTCCTCTTCTCTCCTCCACTGTCGGTCCTGAGAATTAACAAACTGTAAAAGCTGCATGTGGCAAATTTTCCCCTCACCACTGACAGGACTTGCCACAGGCGAATGGATGTTTATAAGATGGTTTCAGGCACGTTGCATCTGGTCCACCTCTTGGCTTTGAACTGTGCGTGATCGGGAGGGAAAAGCGAAAACCTCATGGATAGCGCTGAGGAGGATAGGCCATGAAGTAAGTATACATTTCCGTTCAGATCAGGTTGTCAAGTCTGCGTGCTTGTGAATTATACTGTATACGTGTGTTTTTGTTTGGCTGCCATGTGTCTGAATGCCTGCTATTCTCTCCCCGTCTGCAATATGACTGATATATTACGCAGATTTCAAGCCATAACCAAAAGCTTCTGATTACTCTGCTCGTCTGGAATAAACGGGGCTGGAATAGGGAAGTGAATGACAGAAAGAATGAGAAGGGTAAGAGAGGCAGAGGGAGAGAGAGGAAGATAGAGAGTGGGGGCAGAGAGACAGGGAGCTACGTGACGCCTATCAGCGGCGGAGAGGTTGAACCGTAGAGGAGGTGCAGGGCTTCAGTTGTGTCAGCTCTTGATGTGTTGTCCCCTTGTTTGCGGACTTTTGACTGACGCGGTTATTTGGTTTTATCCCTTCAAGCTTGCCTGTTGCAGCCTCCGACGCCAAATAGAGAGGACCACACGGAGGCATAAGGCGCTTTTTAACCCTCCCTCTCTGTTTTTCGACCGCGGAGCCCCTCTAATCCTGCTGCCACCGCGTCCATCCAAGTCGGAGCGGGTGAGAGAGCGACCGACAGAGAGAGCAGCCAACCAGGGAGTCACGCTGGTTTCCCCTCTCTTTTGAAATAATCTTCGCATCTTCTGGCTCTTCCTTCTCAGATTTCTTTTTGTGTTCGAAACCTGCACGCCCTCCCATACTTTCACACACCCTTTCCTATCTATGTGGGAGCCCTGAGAGCGCGCCCAGGGGGGGAAACTCTGTATCAAAGCTTCGTGGATCCCCCAGGCAGCCTCGGATCACCGTGGCCAGAGAACTCCCTGCAGGGGCCCTGAAGCCGACATGCCGCGCAGGAAGCAGCAAGCGCCGCGGCGCGCCGCAGGTACGCACTGGCTTTAGATTGCATATAGCTTACCTCTCTCTCCTCCTCAATCTGTTTGCCTCCCTCTCCATCCCCGCCTCTCGCATTCAGTTACTTTTCATTGATATTTCTTTCACCCATAATATGTAACTGCAACATCTTTTGTTGTGTGCTGTAAGGTAACGAGGAAAGGACAAAAACATGGTATTCTTTGCATAGTCTTCACAGCTTCCGTACACTCATCACAACTTTTGCCTTTTCATACTAAATACATATAATATCCTATAATTAATATTACAATTATTTCTGTTACAATCAATTCCAACCGCTCTACCTCTGCTGTTTCGGGGATTTATAGAATTCAAAGACCCCTCTTTCCACATTTTTCTTTTTAAGATTATTAGTGAACACCATAAAGGTCATTCTTTTGTGGTCTGTAGTGGAGCTAAAATGATTAGTCAATGAAAAAATAATCTCCTATTTTGATCCTCAATTATTCACATGAGTCACTTTTTATAAAAAAAAGTAAAAATAAAAGTTTCAAGCCACATTAAATGCAAGTATTGTCTGCTTTTTTGCTTTTAGTTTATATTACTACAAATTCATATTCCTTTTGTTTAGAACTGTTAGTTGGACAAATAAAGATATTCAAAGACATCACCTGAGGGTTTTGAAAACCTGTTGGGCATTTTTCATAAAAAAAAGAAATGTAGGGTCCCATTAACTGATACTACAAATAACTGTTAGTCTGTAGATCATTATTACTAATATTTTTTGATGCGTGCATGACATGAAAAGATTTGAGCAATTGCAGGTGTGACCATGAAGTTAGAGCAAACATTCTCTTGCCTCTCACAAAGGTCACAGGTCAGCCTCCATGTACCAGTGTACGCCTCTCAAAAAAGGTGTCATTGTGAGAGTTTCCATTATGAAAAGTCATCAGCCTTGTGTCTCCCTCTCAGAGAACATGATCTTTTATAGGTCTATACACCAGAGAAGGTTGTTGAAGCTCTAGGGTCATCTGCTTGTCATAGAGGTCTTTGATGCTCACTGATTTCTTTTGGGAAAGATGGATTAATTCAATAACACAATATATTACAGGAAGAGAACTCTTCCGACCAAATTTATCTTATGTGATCAGTACCCTTTTTGTTTCTCCTCTCAGAGAAATATGTTGATTGTAGTATGTTTTGCTGGCCTACCAGTGATACACTACACTTACGATACACTGTTGCTGTAATTTTCACTGCAAGAATTTGTAATGTGTTTTGATGTGCAGTGTTGTGATTTAGTCATCTTATTTTATTTTAGTATACTTTATTCCCCATTATATCGGCCCATTTCTAGGATTTTCACATAAAACTACTCTTAGAGTTTGTTCTCAGTTTGTACTTTCTATTTCTTTAAGACTTTAATGTAGCAACAGCTCTGAAAATATCTTAGACATCTACCATTCCAGTTTTTATCAGAATTTGGTCTGTTTTCTTTGTGTCCGTCCTTCTGGGAAAGACTTTTCTTCTATTCTAAAGATTATTTCACAGTTGGGGGAGGCAGTGTATACTGGAAGAGAGCTTTAATGGACAATTGCAAACTTTGATTTGACACCTGATTGATCACCTGTCATCTGGCCGAGCCTTTGATCTGTTCATTCCTGATAAGTGTCAATAAATCACCCCTCCCTTCTGTCTTCCCTCCCTGCGCTGACTCTGATAGCATCAAGCAGGCCCTGCTGGAGTCACACTGGGCCTTGCAAACCTCTAGCCATTACCACCATCATTTCCTTGCATCTTTGTAGACATTTCCCCCTTTTAGTAGCTTAGATTTTTTACCTTTCCATATTTTATGTGGGGAAAGAAATCAACTCATCTTTTTTTGTACACTCCTAGTGAAGTGGTGGAAGACCTTTAGTGCCATCATCGGACCGTTTACAAGACCTTTGAGAAAATTAAACAAGTTATACAATCCTCATATTTTTTAACTTTCATCGGCCTGTAGCAAATATGGTATTGAAACACTAATTACCATTTATAGATAATACAGTGAATGGGTAATGATTTATGCACGACCTTTACCATTTTTTAAGACCATGTTAACTTAGCAGACTTGTGTTTTCAACTTTAATTCTTGAGCAAGTACACTGTCCAAAATTGCCCACAGCCACACGTTCTAACATACATAATTACATCTGTGCAGAGGCACATGCCCACGAGACATGCTGCAATGACTTCAGAGTATATATAAGCAAGAATGTAATACTTTTCACAGAGTGGTATGAAATATGCAACAATTAGCCTAATCGTGAGGAGAAAGACTGGTTTGCTCCATCAGAAGGGCCCCGTCAGAGAGACTTTGTTTCATATTTGATTTAATTGTCTGCCCTCTGACAGCGGCATTCATCAGTGGATCTAATGGTCAATCAGGAGCCTGGCAGAAAGAGAGAGACACAGAGAGAGTCATATGTATTCTCAGCCCAGGGCCTTGCTTGATCAAAATGTTTAGCCCTAATGGACACAGTGGGTGGGGGCAGAGGAATGGGTGATAGACGGACGGGTGGATGGATGGATGGATGCATAGTGGGATGACTGAAAGCCTTTTTTATTCAGCTGGAATGAGTGAGTGAGTGAGTGAGTGAGTGTGCCGGCAGTGGGAGCGGGAGAGAAAAATGATGTATTTATTTCTTTGATGAACTGACGAGAACAAACACGAGGCAGAGGGGAAGGCAGAGTTTCATTTTAGAATATTAGCAACTTCCTAATTTTACCCTTAATTCCTCCTTCTACCCCCATCTTCTACTCCTTCACTCCCTTCCTACTTCCCTTGCTCACAGCTGCAAGTTATAATGTTGAGGAGAACTGCATGGTACACATGGAGTGATGACAAATTGATTATGCTGTAGTGATGGCAAGCGTTATGGGAGGATGGGAAATGATAGGCCTTGATTAGGAACTTGGGGGAGGTTGCTTTTATTTCACAACAAAATCTCTTACTTTCTTTCACTTTTTCCTCTGTCACTGTCTTGGTCTCTCTGTCCTGCACCCTGAAAATGAAGCATTCTTGAAAGGTTTGAGGTTAAATGCAGCAGGTGTACCGGTCATTCATTCAACCATCAACTTTGCTAAAATGACAATATATAAAAATCTGGTGGATAGGTCATTGAAAAGTGCCTTTATTTCTTCTGAGACTGCCCATATGTAGATCCTCTCCAACCTTTTCTACAGGGTTCCACTACTTTCTTTCTCAATGCTTTCTGTGATCCCTTGCACTTTTCATCTCCACTACTCCACCTCCCCCACCCCACCACCACCTCAGTGATGGAGCATGCTCAGCCATCTAAAAAGAGAAGTTGTTTTGCCAGCTTCATTAGCCTTCTCCTAATTAGCCGAGCATCTGATGGATCTTTGACAGGCTTAATGATTGGAGATGACAAGCTCTGCACACTGTCACGCTCGCCAATTAGGTCTGTAGCATAGTTGGATGTAATCAACTTGATCTTACATCATCCCCATTTGCCTCCCACCACCCCTTCAGCCCCTCTCCCTTTTTACACTCCCCCACAGGTGAGAGTTTGGACAGTGGTCGCATGGTATTAGTATGAGTGGCGGTGACCAGACCAGAGAATTTAGCTGTTTGTTTCAAGCTGTGATTGAGTGTGTTTGAAACCTGGGTCTGTGTCAGTCAGCCTGGATTATTCATATACGCATGTATACGTGCACACACACACCATTTTCTGAGCAATGGTATTTATTTTTTTAGTGCTCCTGCCATCAGGAAAGAACAAAGCTCAGGCGAGCAGCAAGCTTTTGTCCGTGGGCTTCAAAGCCAGTCTACAACAAACACTGTTATATGTCATTGTTATAGAAGAGGAAGCATGAACATCAAAGAGCCAGAGTATATTTTTTTTACTTGCATTTTTTTTTAACAGTTCCAAATTCCTCCTAACTTATATCCTTACAAGTAAAACTACAAGTCTGGTGTTTCAAAAACTGGTAGGATATTTAGAAGGAAGGATGTTTAGCAGTAAGTCATAGCTGCATGATGTTAACATAGCATCCTGTGCGTGTGTGTGTGTGTGTGTGTGTGTGTGTGTGTGTGTGTGTGTGAATGAGAGAGTGTACTGTCCTCCTATGAGCCCACTGCAGATTGATGACACTGGTCATTATTAGCCACTCAATGACACACTCCCAGAGTAGGAGGATCTTTCACCCGAGTTGATTTTTCAGAAACACCTGTCATCAGCATGGTGTCCAAAGAGGCTAAGCATGATTTATGTAAATATTAACATCAAGACAGATCTGGTTCTGTCCAACAGGAGATGGATGACAGCCACGGAGGAAAAGCAGCTGATTTCTGTGATTTCTCTGCCACTGTGTGTGCGAGTAGTGTGTGTACTGTATGTGTGCGAGCGTGTGTGTGTGTGTGATTGATTGTAGATAAGAGCGAGAGATTAATCATGCTTGATGTGTGTTAACGTTGCACTCGCAGTGGATCTAAGTCGAGATGCAGTGGCCCATTTAGATATACTCTCTCACTCACTCACTCACTCACTCACTCACACACACACACACACACACACACACACACACACACACACACACACACACAAACGTGCGGTTGTCACTTACAGGGTCCCTACATAAACTTACATTCATTTCGAGGAGACATCCCTAACCTTAACCAGAACTGTTACTTTCCTCATACCATAATCCCAACCAAAGCAGACACTTGCTCGAATCTTACACCCCCTTATTTTCATATAATTCAGTGAACTACTTGTGGTGCTCAGCCTCCAGGCCTCACAAGTAGCCTGCTGGGCCCCGCAAGGATAGTAACTCCTGGATTTCGGGCCCCACAAATACATAAAAACAAGAACACACACGCACAGATTCACAGGAGGGTGTGGGTACACACACATACTCACACATACACACATTTTCACATTTTTGGCCTGTGAATAGCACACTTCTTAATAGGGAAATTCATTTACACTAGAGGTGATTGCAATGAAAATTATGTTGTTTGTT